AGCGTGAGGTGATATCTCATTGTAGTTTTGATTTGTAATTCCCTGATGATGAGTGACATTTAGCATCTTGTCAGTGTGTCTGTTGGTGAAAAGGAGGTATTAAACAGACAAAAAGTATACTTAATCCCACCATTGTAGCACAGCTATTTTGATTTTTTGTGTGGATGTGTCTTCGTTTACAAGCAAACATAATTTTTCCATGGCACGATCACATTTCTGTTTCCTTTAAAAAGAGAGCAGTCTACAGTTTTCCTTTTTGTTTGCTTTTCTCTGGCTCAGGAAGGTGACATTTGGGATAAAGGTTAAGCCACAGTTTTTAGGATCCTGGAGATCCCTGCCAGGTGGTTCCTTGCAGTTCATCCCTGCAAAAAGTGTTTGTGGGTGTGGCCATCCCTATTTTTACCAAGCACCCCCCCTTTTCTTCTTTTCCTGTATCAATAGGGAAAATGCCTTGAAAGTGGAAATAATTAAGAGCCCCAACTGACACCCACTTCACTTTTAATATCGAACCACATGAATAAAAACTGTAGATCATTATTATTTTAGAAAAACCAATGGTGAAATGACCCGGGGTGACTGTCAGGTTGTGCTGTAGGATGAGTCTGTAGGCCACAGGCCCCCTGGGTGCTAGAATGAGGAAGGCTTCACAAGCTGTGGGGAATCCTGTTTCCTTAGAAAAAAGTCAGCTGGTGTGGGCCGACTCCCTGCACTTTAATCCAGAGTGAATGGAGGGGTGGGTAGAGGCCTTGGAAGTGGAGCTGCTTCACATGGATGCCGCCTTGTTCTTCCCAGAGTTCTCCATTCCACTCCTTACCCTGCCTCCACCATCCATGGCTCCTGCAGCCTGAGCCCCTCTCCTCCCAGCTTTGGCCCAGCCAGTTAACCCCAGCCCTCCTTTACACATTCTAGGATGCAGCCTCCCACCTTTTAGAATCCCTGTCAACTCCATTTCTGGTTCTCAGAGATTTAATACGGAAACTTACTCCACTGGGGGCTCCTCCTGTTCTCTGTGGTTACAGGTTTACACCCTTCTGTGCTTTGATTACCTTAGTTCTCTGTGACTTTAGAAAGGATTGGTTCCATCTGAAACTGGGGCTCCATTTCTTTTCATTAGAATGAAAATAACCAGTTTTACATAATATACAATTTACCTAATAACTCCCACTTTCTGAAATATATCTAAGAATAAGGAATTAAGCCAAATATACCCGTGCCAACATTGACTTCAAAGTTACACTAAATCTCACATAGGTAGATCGTGAAAGTTCTCTAGGTCTTGACTGTAGGCCCTTAGTTTCTGTTTTTGATTAAGTTCCATGATAGAATTGTTTTTTGGTTTACTAAAATGAGATCAGGGACCCAGGAGCAGGTGCTGAGTGACCAAGTGGTCTGTCAGCAAAGGAAGAGATGTTAAAAAGGGACAGTGTGGCCTTGTTCGCCTCAGGGATGCAGTGTGGTGTCATTATGGAAACCTTATCGTGAGGGTCTTGGGCCATCGTTAAAAAGGTCACATATATTTTTTATGGGCCCCTGCTTAAAATGGCAGGGAAAGTGGGAGGACCACTTTTTCCTAGAGTGTTGTCAGTATATCTGTCTTCTGAACGTATCTTCAGTGTCTCATTACCAGGACATTCCACAGCTTAGGATTTTAGATATAACTTCTTAAAATCCTCTCCTTCTTCACTTCTAACCCGCCTTGTGTTAGCCAGTTACATATTCAGAATTCTCAATTCTTAATTTTAGAATTAAGATTGGTCAATTTTACAGGTGGATTATAAGTTTAGTATAAATACAGTCAAAATCCCAAATAACAGTGTGATTACAGCTAAATCTAACTGTGTGTGTGGGAAAGATAATGGCAAAAAAAGAAACGTTGTTTTAAGAAGCAGAATTGTGGGTATTTAAAAGATATGGAAAAGCTTGTTGATTAACAAGCTATATTTTACTGTTTTTAGGATAAAATACTACTTTTGGCAGAGTCATGCCTTTGCAAATCATATGGTTAAAAACTTGCTCTTTAAAAACACAGATGCACACTCTATACACTGTATATGCTGTATATTAACTAACTTGACGATAAGTTATATTTAAAAAAACAAAAAAATAAAATTAATTTCACCTATTTCTTTTTACTTTTGAACATGGCTACTAGAAAGCTTTAAATCACATATGTTGTCTACAGTATTATTTCTGTTGAATAGCATTGAGATAGAAAGGCTGAATGATATAAAGTCAATGTAATAGGTAAAAAATAACAATGGAAAATAAAAACATAGACGCAGGTGCATACAAGTAATATGACAGTGGCATTGCACAGAATCTGGAAGAAAAGAGAAAAGCATGGAGAACTTAACATTACTCCTGCACA